TTCATGAGGGCATTTAGGCACCGCCTTTCCCCCTCCCCCCTGGCTTCTTCTTATTATTCTCCTACAGGGGTATCAGAGCTGAGGTAGACACCAGGGGGTTGAAGTATTTACTGAAACGTGTTATCGAAACATGCGGTTTAGACGGGTTTCCACTGCACCGTAACCCGGGTTTGTGTGAGTTGTGCTGGTGCCAACCCCCTTTCACATCCTCTGTGCTGTGTAGCTGATATCGTCTTGTTTAAAAAAATAAAATACTTTTGGAAAGAAGAAATGCAATTCGTGACGCCGCGCAACATTTCCACGGACGTCATAATTGACCACGTGGCTCTGTCGTGTCCTCGCCTCGTCACGGTGTGGGGAGTGCCCAAACTTCACCCCACCGCGCGTGACCCGCTGATGGACTAACCCGTGGTGTGCCCTTACATGCTGGGTGGACAAAAGCCGGTGGAGCGGGGTGCGGTTGGAGGGTGGGGGTGTAATAACACCTCTCCCCCACTGGTGTTCATTGTCCCCCTTTTACGTCGCTTCGCAAATACGTCGCCACCTTATTAATACCCCTACCCGATTTTGCGTCGCCTCATCACCCACACTCACGTCCGCTGACGGCACCATCCGTGCGGTCTCGCCTCAGCCTTCGCCTCCGCCCACCCTTTCAATCGCTTCGATAAGACGTCGTTTCGATATTTGTTGTCGCACCTTTCAGGAATGCACCCCCGACGTAAATCGGGGTATTTGGCTGCTGTAACTGTCCAAGCGATTGGCCACTTCGTTGAGCTAGCATCTGTGACCAGGTCGCTTCTGAAAAAAGAGCTGTAGAGCTCAGTGTGGCCTTACCTGGTGATCCCGCATAAATATTATATATATACAGGGTGGCCCATGAGTCTGGAATCATTGGGACAAATAACTAATTCATATTTTTTTTTAGTTTCTGCAGGCCCAAGATGTCTCCGAGTAAGGAAGAACGAGTCCAGATAATTCTGCTCGTAGGACATCGGAGTCGGAGGGAGGTCGCTGTTGAATTTAACAGACTGCATCCAGACCGCGAGCCAATAACGCAGAGCTGCGCTGTTCCTATGATTCCAGACTTATGCGACACCCTGTATATTCCACCCAAAACGTTTGTCACCGACCAAAAAAAATCAAGGCATTAAGATAAATGAATATTTATATGTAAATGTTTCTATTTAACATTTTTTTATAACCTACCGCGGTGAAGCCGTGGTGTGCAGTGAGAGAAAGACAATGGCAGTGCCCTCCCCTCTGCCAATTATTGAACAGGCGGCAACATCCACAATGCAGCGTTCATTACACTTGCCATCTGTGGGTTTGCTTTGAACCGCTCCGACTAAAAGGATGCCTCTGCTCGTTTACGCTTGCCAGTTCACCTGCCTCTCCCATCTCATCGCGTCTCTCTCTCTCTCCCTCTGTGTGTGACTCTTTTACCATCATCATTATAACCATCATCATCATCAGCAGCAGCAGCAGGAGCCATCATCAGTCCACTGTTGGATGGTAGGCCTCGAGCTGTAGTCATCTCTCACGGTTCCGCGACGTAACGATCCAACTTTTGATAATTAATAAAGGTTTTTAAGTTAGATCGCGTAAGTACAAAATGTATCGTATACCCTCACACCACCCGACACAGCCAGGAAGGTTTGTCACTTAATCGACGAGTCAGTCAGATACGACTTCAGCCCACCGGTGTGTTGGAGAGTAAGTCCACAACATTTATAATTTGAGCACGACATTTCGCTGGTAATTAATTACATCTAGCATGATGATTCTGGATGGAATAACCAGCGATACGTCGTACTCAAATTGTAAGCGTGGATTTAGTCTCCAACACACCGGTGGGCTGAAGTAGTAACTAATTGGCGCGTTGTTTACGTGACAAATCCCTTAGTGGCTGTGTCGGGTTGTGGAGGGTTATGACACAATTATACGTACGCGATCCAACCCAAACACCTATATTATGAATAATATTGGTCGCAAAAGCCTACGTGTTAATCCAATCCAACTTTGCTCATGCATTTTTGGGATGACTGTTCACAAATATACGGACAAACCATTAAAAACGAACATTTATTTTTTTATTTCACCGGGTAAGTCCCACCACTGAGCTCTATAGCACTTTTTTTTATTCAGAAGCGACCTGGCTATCACGAATGACAGCCCAACGAAGTGGCTCATCATCACGTGGCACATTAGAGCAGTAGCCAAATCCTCGAAACGCCGCGACGTCAATTCCAAATGTGGAGGGAAAGACCCGGAGGAACCGTAGACAAATCCACGCGAACGGCGCGACGTCAATTCCAAATGTGGAGGGAAAGACCCGGAGGAACCGTAGACAAATCCACGCGAACGCCGCGACGTCAATTCCAAATGTGGAGGGAAAAACCCAGAGGAACCGTAGACAAATCCACGCGAACGCCGGAAAAAAGACACTCGAACTCCAAATATACAACAGGCGTCACGGTCGGGATCGAACCCACGACTTCCTGTATACGAGGCGAGGTGGGTAACATCTCCTAGCCACCGTAACGCCCCTAAACGCCAGCGATGGTCGCTCCCACCCCCGCTACGGGCAGCCTCACGGCCCCCAGGTCACTCTCGCAAACGAGACTCTCCCTATATAATTAGACCTCCTTCGCCAGCGCCAAAATATAAGAATAGGGGTTTTTTCCCTTTTTTCTGGCAACAAAACTGAAACCTTTTTACAAGGATTCATGTCTGCATTAACCACAATACCTGCAGTCAAAATGCAAACAAAAAATATACTATGAAAATATATGCATTGTCCTTGAAACTGATTGGTCCTTTTGGCGTCACCTGGTCGAGCACCAATTGGGTCGAGGCTCCAAAGAAAGCCGTCCCTTGATGTGGACCAATCAGTTTCAAGGACAATGCATATATTATCATAGTATGTTTTTTTGTTTGCATTTTGACTGCAGGTATTGTGGTTAATGCAGTAACATGAATCCTTGTAAAAAGGTTTCAGTTTTGTTGCCAGAAAAAAGGGAAAAAAATCCCTATTCTGAGACTCCCCCTATCGTGGTCTCTTGAGTGAGTTCTCACCCGGCCCCAAGAAATCAACGGGGGAACTCCCGACTTGCGAGGCGCCCGCACGCGCCGTTCGTGCCATCATCGTCCTGCCTCCCGTGGCGTGGACGTTGAGACTGTGGAGGCCGAATATCAGCGATGGAGGCATTGGAGCCGAGCCACGGAGCTGACCTTAAAGGAAGAGAACGTAGGACTTGGGCGGAGACCTGTAGACTTATATAAAGAGCCTTAGACTTGTACAGGGACTCATTAACTCATATATAAGAGCCTATGGAATTAGGTAGAGACCCATAGACTTACATATAGACCAAAAAACTTATATAGAGACCAATAGACTTACATAGGGAACCATATACTTAGGTAAGGTCCCATATATTTCCATAGAAACCCATAGAGATACATGGAAACACAGACTTATATAGGGACCCATACACTTGTATAGAGACCCATAGACTTACATCGAGACCATAGACTTGAATAGAGTCCCACTGACTTACATAGACACCCATATACTTATATAGGGACCCATAGACTTATGTAGGGACCCATCGACTTATATAGAGACCCATAGATTTATGTAGAGACCAATAGAATGTACATACCCATAGAATTTCACATAGAGCCACAGATTACTTGGAGACAGAGAGAACCTACCCTTGGGCAACTAGCTTGACAGAGAGAGAGACAGTTCATTAGCATCCACAACACCTCTTACATTCAGAATGTAACGTAATACGCAGATGCTAAATGTATCATCTTGTCAGCAACAATCCACAGTGCGTTGATCGCAAAACAATGCTCACTTTCTAATAAGACATCACTCGTGCGGAACGCAACGCTCTAAAGCAGCCCGCTTCAAATGCCACGTGACAAGCCAACACTGGCGCCGGTGATGGTGGTGATAGTGGTGATGGTAATGGTGGTGATGGTGGTAGTAGTGATGATGGTAGTGGTGATGGTGATGATAGTGGTGATGGTAGTGGTGGTGGTGGTGATGATGGTAGTGGTGATGGTGGTGATGGTAGTGTTAGTGGTGGTAGTGGTGATGGTCGTGGTGGTGGTAGTGGTGATGGTGGTGGTGATGGTAGCGTTGGTGGTGGTAGTGATGATGGTGGTAGTGGTGATGGTCGTGGTGGTGATGGTGGTAGTGGTGATGGTGGTGGTGGTGATGATGATGGTGGTGGTGATGGTAGTGTTGGTGGTGGTAGTGATGATGGTGGTAGTGGTGATGGTGGTGATGGTGGTGGTAGTGGTGATGGTGATGGTAGTGTTGGTGGTGGTAGTGGCGATGGTGGTAGTGGTGATGATAGTGGTGGTGATGATAGTGGCGGTAATGCTGGAGAGCGGTAGTGTAGCGGTTAGCGTGCTGCGCTATGACCCCGGCAACCCGAGTTCGACTCCCGCTCACGGCAAACACCAGTGACGATTATCTGAACCGGTGCTGGGCCTCCCCTAGGTCGACTCAGCCTCAAATGAGTAACCTGGGGCGGTGTGTAAACATCGCCACCGGGGAGACAAAGGCGGCCGGGCGTGGTGCTGACCACCCACCGACTCGCGTGTGGAGGCCAAAGATAAAATCATAGGCGCTCCTCGATAACAGCACTTGCCTCAGCAACCAGTTCAGGCTATACCGGGGGCGGGGGTTCTTTATCTTTACAGTGATGGTCGTGGTGGCGGTGGTGCTGGAGGACGCGAGTTTTGCAAGAATCCCAACGGCTCTCGAGCGGAAAATTTTCCCCTCCGGGAGGGAGGGAATGAGGGAGGTACGGTTGTCGGATGACTGGCAGAAGTTGCAGCGAAGATACAAGCATGACGCTCTTCAATTACGTGCTTTAAAATGTCACAATTCAGAGAAACGAGGAGGGAGGATGGGGAGGGGAGAGGGAGGGGTGGGTACAACAACAAATTGGCAGGAACAAAAATAGGCGATGAATACTCACATGCAATACCCCGGGCAGTGGCAGCATTCGCTGTTGATCTCAGGCAGGTGTCCTATTTCTCTGCCGGTAAAAACAAAAACAAAAGAGCTGTCCCTCGTGAGTTTCCCTGGAAGTGTGTAGCGTAGCGTGGATGGCATTGGCTCTGCTGTGACGAATGAAATGACGGCGCCTATCTCATGATGCTCTTTATAGCCCGGTGCCTGAGCTCCGGGTCGCAGTTGCACCGCCTGCACACTCCACAGCTACGCCACTGCATCGCGCGTTTGTGACGGTTCAGCCGCTCTCTCTTTTTTGTTGTTGTTGTTGTTTACCACGCGTAACGGAATCTTTACTGTGCACGTGGCGTAGCTATCGAGTGCGCAGGCCGTGCAACTGCGTCTGCGTCCACGAGCGAAGCTCCTCGTCCCTCCGCTGTTGTTGGAGGGCGACTGCCTCCAACTGCCCAGTAGCAGCGTCCTTCACGAGCCTCCTCCACAGAGGCCGATCTTGACACCGCTGGTACCGGTCGTCGGCAAAGTAGTCCACTCAGCTCCACATCCTCCCGGACCGCATCAGCTCCATCTCTTCTCAAGCCCGTGCCGTGCCCGTTATGCGGTCTAAACACACGCATCACTTACACACGCGACATACACCCCATCCTATATTTATTTTCCTTCAGTTCCCTGTAGAAGCCCCCCCACCCCAACCCCAACTTCCCCCGTGATCAAAGCAAGATTCCCCCGTGACTTTATTTTTCTTGAGCGTAAATTGGCCATGGCAGGGGTGAATTGCATCGCATCGGAATGGAACATGAAAGTCGCATTCCCCACTCACGGCATCGCTGGTCGCTTTGTGCTCGGCGGAGAGCACGCCGGGAGGGGTTGAGGAGGTCCGGACTCGAGCAACAGCTGACGTCGAAGTCCCCGAATGGAACCGAAACATGAAACATTGGGACGGAACGCTCACGCCGCTGACTCTTATTTCGGGCTCATTGCGGAGGTGTCGGGGGGAGCGGTGGGGGGCTGGGGAGCGGCGGTGCAGTGGTTAGCGCGCTGCGCTCCCAACCAGGCCAATCCGGGTTCGACTTGTTTCTCGGCCACCAACACCGTCTGAACCGGTCTTGGGCCTCCCCTAGGTCAACTCAGCCTGAAATGAGTACCCGGTGCGCTGTGTGGAACATCACCCCTGTGGAGACAAAGGCGGCCGTGCGTGGTGCTGGACGACCCCACCCCCTCGTGTGCCGTGCCGGCCTTTATAGGTGCTACTCGCTAACAGCACTTGCCCCAACAGTCTGTTACAGGCTATAGGTGTGTGTGTGTGTGTGGGGTGGGGGGGGCGAATATGTGTGTGCATAGTGCGGTACGGACCCTATACACCGTGGTCGTACACCGCTGTGCAGCCATGCGCTGGTGACTTCCGTCAGCGTGGTTGCCTCGTGCGCTCGATTTGGTGTGCGCCTGTGCGCGTGCGCGCAGGGACCGTTGACAGAGCGCTCCGTTAAGGCTGTACGGTGGATCTTCGCCTTGGTTATGTGGGGGTGATTGAGGGTGGAGGGAACAGTGGGGGTGTGTGTGTGTGTGGTGGGGGGGAGGGTGTAAGCCAGCTACAACTACCTCGATCGAACGTCGCCCATCACGCGACGACTCATTAGGCGCCGGAGCTTCCATAGCGACGCCACGCGCTCCACGCTTTTTTTTTTGGTTGCAACGCGACGCGGAAGGAGTGAAAAAAAAGAAGCGGATGCTAGCGGCCGCTGTTTTGTTTGAGAGCGCTAACGACGACGACGCCGCCGCCGCCGTAACGACGAGCGAACGATTCGGCGGCTCTAACGAGAAGGCCGCTCGCTCGCTCGCTCGCTGGTTTTAGTTGGCAGCAGCTGCCACCGTTGGTGTCAACAACAACAACAGCAACAACAGCAACCGTGGCCCCGCGGGCTGCCAATTTACAATCGCGGCCGTCAAATTCTCGCAAAGCGTTCGCAACAGAGGTAGTTGGCGACCACGACAACATCGCGGCGATATGACAACATCATAATTCGATGTGTCGGCGAATCCACTGCTGGATGGAAGCGTCCTCAAGCCAAGGCATTGATAATCTGGTTACCAATTCATCATCATCATCATCATCGTAACCATCACCAGTTAGGGTCAATCCACGGCTGATCCATTTATAGACAGCCTACTTACCTACTTAAATAATAATAGGAATGAATAGGGGCGGACGAATTACGGAGAATGTGGGCGTTTCATTCCAAACCCTCGAACGAGTCTTCTGCCGTCATGCGTCACTGTCGACCCACGGCTGACACCCTGCATAGACACCCTGCTTAACCCAATAGCAACAATAACAACGAAAATAAATATAATGAAGAAGAAGAATGGGCGGTCCACTCCAAAACCCTCGACCGGGCTTTTGATTCCACTCGCAGCCTCTCTCCTGTCGCGCGCCCTTCTGCGACGCCCGGTCGAGGCGGTTTGAGCTCTGAGAGTCGAGCGGATCGTTAGAAAACAGCGTGGGGAGAGGGCAGCTTCGAGCGGGTAAATGTCCCTGTGTGTTAACTACAAAGGTCGACAAAGGATACAGACGAAGATGCCCCGTGTAGCTTTCTTTACTCGTCCGTTAGGGGAAAAGTGCTGTGGGCGAGTAGCGACACTTACGAAGTGCAGCCGGGTGGACACACGAGCGGGTTGGGTGGCCAGCAACCACGCCAAGGCCGCCTTTGTCTCCCAAGTGGCGATGTTCACGCATCGCACCGGGTACTCATCTGTGGCCGAGTCGACCTAGGGGAGGCCCAGTGCCGGTTCAGATAATCGTCAGCGGTTGTTGGCCGTGAGCAGGGCCGGATTAAGGCACGTGGGGCTTTAGGGTTTGCAGCCCCCAGGGGCCTCCGCCAGCTGGAGGCCCTCCAGAGATGAAGTGAAAAGTTATTTCGTTTGTGAATGCTGCATTTGATTTGTTGTTAGCCTTGTAAAAATTCTTTAACTTTGTTTTCCTTTTCAAAATATTACTGGGGGCCTCACAGTACCCTGTAGCCCAGGAGCCTACACAACCTTAACCCGGCCATGGTCGTGAGCGGGGATCGAACCCGGGTAGAATTCAGGTCGCCGGGTTCGCTCAGGCGACAAATGGGGTGAGCTGTAGTGGCACTGATAGGCAGACAAAATGTCTCCTTCACATATCGGTCTGGCTAGATTTGTAATATGTAAAAAAAGCGTTTCTTACACATCACATCAGCAAGCACGGCTCCTCTGGCGGTGTACGCATTCAGCAGCGATGATTAAAAAAACGAGCAAAACTCTGCATTGGTTTTCGACACGCGGCGTCTCATCAGCAGCAGAGTTGCGGCTCGCACGAATCCATGCTGCTGGTCAATTGCCGGTCGACCTTAGAAGCAATGGCCCCTCCCCGCTTTACAGTCTGGGGTCTTCGTTTTTCAGCGCGATTGTACGGCGATGGACGACTCACGACGGCCTTTAACGGCGTGCCGCGTGGCGTTTGCAAAAAAAACGCGTTTGTGTTTTTGTAGTGTGTGCAGAGACGGATATGTGAAGGAGACGTGGCTTTTTTACAGTGAGCGAAAAAAGTTTTTGATCCCCTGCTGATTTTGTACGTTTGCCCACTGACAAAGAAATGATCAGTCGATAATTTTAATGGTAGGTTTATTTGAACAGTGAGATACAGAATAACAACAAAAAATGCAGAAAAACGCATGTCAAAAATGTTATAAATTTATTTGCATTTTAATGAGGGCAATACGTATTTGACCCCCTTGTTGCTTTGGCCGTGTGTTTTGGGTCATTGTCATGCTGGAATACCCATCCACGACCCATTTTCAATGCCCTGGCTGAGGGAAGGAGGTTCTCACTCAAGATTTGACGGTAAATGGCCCCGTCCATCGTCCCTTTGATGCGGTGAAGTTGTCCTGTCCCCTTATCATAAAAACACCCCCTGAGCATAATGTTTCCACCTCCATGTTTGACGGTGGGGATGGTGTTCTTGGGGTCATAGGCTAGCATTCCTCCTTCCTCCAAACACGGCGAGTTGAAGTTGATGCCAAATAGCTCCATTTTGGTCTCATCTGACCACAACACTTTCACCCTAGTTGTCCTCTGAATCATTCAGATGTTCATTGGCAAACTTCAGACGGGCATGTATATGTGCTTTCTTGAGCAGGGGGACCTTGTGGGCGCTGCAGGATTTCAGTCCTTCACGGCGTAGTGTGTTACCAATTGTTTTCTTGGTGACTATGGTCCCAGCTGCCTTGAGATCATTGACCAGATCCTCCCGTGTAGTTCTGGGCTGATTCCTCACCTTTCTCATGATCATTGCAATTCCACAAGGTGAGATCTTGCATGGAGCCCCAGGCCGAGGGAGATTGACAGTTCTTTTGTGTTTCTTCCATTTGCGAATAATCGCACCAACTGTTGTCACTTCTCACCAAGCTGCTTGGCAATGGTCTTGTAGCCCATTCCAGCCTTGTGTAGGTCTACAATCTTGTCCCTGACATCCATGGAGAGCTCTTTGGTCTTGGCCATGGTGGAGAGTTTGGAATCTGATTGATTGTTTCTGTGGATAGGTGTCTTTTATACAGGTAACAAGCTGAGATTAGGAGCACTCCCTTTAAGAGTGTGCTCCTAATCTCAGCTCGTTACCTGTATAAAAGACACCTGGGAGCCCGAAATCTTTCTGATTGAGAGGGGGTCAAATACTTATTGCCCTCATTAAAATGCAAATACATTTATAACATTATTGACATGCGTTTTTCTGGATTTTCTTGTTATTATTCTGTCTCTCACTGTTCAAATAAACCTACCATTAAAATTATAGCCTGATCATTTATTTGTCAGTGGGCAAACGTACAAAATCAGCAGGGGATGAAATACTTTTTTCCCTCACTGTATATTCTCCAAAACCACCGCCAAATTAATTATTCTTTGGGATCTGAATTTTAGCAGATAAATGCGTTTAGCTGGCAGCGAAATGAGTTGACATTTTAGGACATTCTATACAAATACAAAAAAATAAAGTGATGGCCATAATCATGCTGAGACGGGAGTCTCTAAGACGGACACACAGGAGGAGAAGGGGGGGCAACGGCTCAAGATGAGGAGCTGGGAGAGAGAGGGAGGAGGAGGAGCGGCGGTGCGGGAAGAGGAGGAGGAGAGGGAAAAGGAATGACCGGGGCAAGATGTTGGGGATGATGAGAGGGTGATGGTGGTCGTGGTGATGATGATGATGATGGTGAGAGGGTGATGATGATGATGATGATTTAGAGGGGACGGAAGAGAGGGAGAAGGGAGACGGCAGAAGTGAGCTACACAGAGGAGAAGCAGCGTCTGTTGTCACAGTGAGCGTGGTTGGGGGAGAGGGGGAAGGGTTCAGTGTGGGGCGGGGGGGGGGGGTGGACACACGGAAGTCACGATTTACGTGGGGGCGTGTGGGGCGGTGGAGGGGAGGTTCTTGAGCTGGTACACGTAGAGAGATGCAATGCGCAAGGACGCAGCAAACACGTGTTGTAAATTAAAACAAA